AATTTTCCAGTCTCTAGGTAGTGCGAATGGTTAATTTGTCACCTATGAATTGAAAGGTTGGTGGTTCAAACCCAACCAGTGGTGTCTAGGTAGAAAGACCTGGCCATCCGTTTTCTTTCCCTGCTTTGAAAGGGTCACAGCCATGAAAACCCTGAGTGAAGTTAAACTCTGAACCACATGGGGTTTTGCCTTGAGATGGAATTGACTTCAGGGCAACTGATTCTTGGTTTTGTTTTCCACATAAAATATTGTTTTTGATTGTCAAAAATTATAATTGCATTTAAAGTATGTACTCAAGAGAACCTCTGCTCCAAACTGCAATATGTAATTTTTTTTTCCTTAATAGATAATCATTTGTATTACTGTGATTTATTTTTTAAAACACCAAATGCTATGCTAGACATAATATTCTTCACCTGTCTTTTTTTTTTTTTTTTTACCAGACATAACTTCACTTTGGAATATAATTGTTTTAATAACTTCATTTTACATAGCCACATGTTGCCCACTTTCTTTCAACACCTTCCATCAACTCCTTAGAAGCAAGGATGGCAAGACTTCACCACTTCACATACTTTGGACATGTTATGAGGTGGGAGGAGTCCCTGGAGAAGGACATCACGCTTGGTAAAGTAGAAGGTCAGCGAAAGAGGAAGAGCTACAAGCTAGATTGACACAATGGCTGCAACAATTGGCTGCAGTGTAGTAATGACTGTGAGGATGGTGCAGGGTCAGTGTTTTATTCTGTTGTATACAGGATCACTGAGTCAGAACTGGTACCTAACAACTACATGCTGTGAAAAGAAGAAATTTGTTTGTTAAAGCTGTCCACAGGGGAAAGATCTGGCAATCTGCTGTCCTAAAGATTACAGCCTAGAAAATCCTACAAGGATGTTTGACTTTGTCACATGGGGTCATTATGGATAAAAACGGACTCACCAGCATCTATCAACAATGTTTGTTATGAATGGGGTTTCAAACAAGTTAGAAATGGTTTAGTCATGGCTGACACAATCAGGGGGAGCTTATGCATTGCATAGGAACCAAAACTCTCACCTATCAGTTTCTGACCCAAGTAGGACATTGGCAGTGGTGTACCATTCAGAGGCAGCTGACCGTGCCACTTTGAATGTGTTTCTCTCCACAGCCCTGCCAATAATCCAATCAGAATCAAGAGCCTGATGCTGGAGCCTGGATTACTGGCAGGACTGTGGAAAGAGACACACATTCAAAGCAGCGCAGTAGGCCACCATATTTGAGCCAGGCACTGCTGCCTTGTTTCCTATGTGCATCAAACCGAACAGTTGAGAAACATGGTTGCTGTGCAACACGTACTCTGTCCTTGTTTACATTGGCCATAAATATACTGTCTTGAACCAGTTCAAAGCCCTGGTTTATGATATACGCCAATGAGACAGGCAGGATAGGGTTGAATTGATAGGAGAAACATGATTCATTGAGTCATGAAAATACTAAATTTTATGAATTAAAACATAACTTTGATACATTCCACATAAAAATACTCAAGTGCATTTATTTGTATTGAAATGTGAATCCTACATATACTGTATTCTGATTCTTTTGATTAAGCTTTCCTCTATGATAACTGCACTCTCATTTCCAAAACTAAGTTATTAGTCTCTGATATACAAGTTTTCTTTTAAAAGATAGTGTGACCATTTCCTCTCCTTTATTTTTACTATATGACCTGTTCCAGATAAACTATCATTTGACTTCCATGAAAACGTCTATTTCTAATGTCCTAGCCTGTCGAATGTTTCATGACCAGACAGTAGAATAATCTTTTTCAATAATCCACTGGCTGTCATAACAACAAATGAGTAGACAAAGATCCCGAATTCATTAATTATCATGATTTAAATAGTTTTACATATACTTTCTGCACCTCCTTGTGCTCTCATTCAAACTCATATAATATTGCATCTTAAAGTCAGTGAGTGTCCTTGTTCTTCCAGGGAACAAGGATCTCACTCAGTGACCCTCACCTGAGTAGGCCTTTCATTGATCCCTTCAGAGACCATCAGGGTGACTCATGAAAATCATGTGATAAAGGCCTAACATCAACAGATTTCTAACCACAGGCTAACAGTCATCAGTAGTAATCTAGCCTTTTCAAGAAACATTAAACAGAAAAAAAAAGTACATTATTGAAATGAAGGAATTTCATGGATTTTATTCCATTGACACCCACCATCTAGGAGTTTCACATATTTCTTCAATTGCTGTGTAGGATTCAACATTTGAGGCTGATTAATATTTGAAAAGTAGAGATACTTCTGCTTAGTATGAGTTGTAATATACAGTCCACTGGAAGACTTGGTTAAATGATATACACAACTCATCATATTCTAAGATTTCTCTCCAGTATGAGTTCTTTGGTGAATCCTGAAGTCAGACCGTTGTCTAAAGGCCTTGCCACATTCAATACATTTGTAAGTTTTCTCTCCAGCATGAATTTTCTCATGACCCCAGAGGTGTGAACGTTTGATAAAAGCCTTACCACACACATTACATTTGTAAGGCTTCTCTCCAGGATGTATATTTTGATGTCGAGTGAGGCTTGAGTACTGCTTAAAAGCTTTGTCACAGTCAGTACACTTGTACGGTTTCTCTCCAGTGTGAATTCTCTGATGAGTTATAAGGTTTGAGTTTTGACTAAAGGCCTTGCCACATACATTACATTTATATGGTTTTTCTCCCGTATGGATTCTCTGATGTCGAGTAAGGCGTGAAGACCAGTTAAAGGATTTGCCACACTCATTACATTTGTAAGATTTCTCTCTACTGTGTAGTCTCCCACGATCCCCACCCAAGTCACATATATCTAATTCATCATGTTTCTTTTCAGAATGGATTTTCTGATGCCTAGTAAGGTGTGCAAATTGGGTATAGGCTTTGCCACAGTCATTACATTTATAAGGCTTCTCTCCCATATGGTTTCTCTTATGTTTATTAAGGCTTGAATGTACGGGAAAAGCTTTGCCACACTCATTACATTTGTAAGGTGTCTCACCAGTATGAATTCTCTGATGTTCGACAAGGCTTGAACTTTGGATATAAGCTTTACCACATTCATTACATTTGTGTGGCTTCCCTCTGCTATGGATTCTCTCATGTTTCATAAGACTTGAATTGTGACTAAAAGCCTTGCCACACACATTACATTTGTGTGGTTTCTCTCCAGGATGTATATTCTTATGCTTAGTGAGGTGTGAATACTGTTTAAAGGCTTTGCCGCATTCATTGCATCTGTAAGGTTTCTCTCCAGTGTGAACTCTTCGGTGAATCCTGAGGCTAGACCACTGCCTAAAGGCCTTGCCACATTCAGTACAGTTGTATGGTTTCTCTCCAGTATGAATTCTCTCATGATCCCAAAGGTATGAACGCTTGTTAAACGCCTTCCCACATTTCATACATTTGTAAGGTTTCTCTCCGGTATGAACTCTACAATGATTTGCAAGGTGAGAATTTTGATTAAACATCTTGCCACACACATTACATTTATGTGGTTTTTCTCCAGTATGGATTCTACAATGACTTACAAGGTGGGAATTCTGATTGAAGAATTTACCACATATGTTACATTTATATGGTTTCTCTCCAGTGTGGATTCTCTGATGTCTTGTGAGGTTGGAGAGCTGCTTAAAGGCTTTGCCACACTCATTACATTTGTGAGGTCTATGCTCAGAATGAATTCTCTCATGCTTAGTGAGGACGGAGCACTGGCTAAAAGTCTTCCCGCATCTGTTACATCTATAAGGTTTTTCTCTAATATGTGTAGTCTGGTGTGATACAAGCAAGGAAGAAATACCATCCTTCCCATTATTACAGATGTTTCTCTTGACACTAGGAGGAAATCTTTGAAGTGATGAAACAGAGGAACAGTTTTCAATGGACTTCTCAACTTGATTACATTCATAATTTTTCTCATTTTGAAATCTTTGCATCTCAGACAGACGTGAGGAAAAGTTTAGTTCAGGCCTATTTTCAAAATATTTTATAGGCTTGTTTTCTGCATACCCTATGTTATATTTTAGTTTTAAGAGATTCTTTATAAATGACTTGTCATATTGGAAATATTGGTATGTACTTCTCCTTACAGAAATACTCTGTTTTAGAGGCAAATTATTCAAGGATTTGTTAAGGTGTTGTTCTTTTCTACCAGGGAGATTTTTGTTTTGGGTTGTAGTCACTCCTTTGTAACTTCTTTCATCATATCCCGACAGACTTTCAAATTCATGCATATTTTCCCAGACCTCCCTGTAGTAAAAGTCCTCAGTGCCATGGCTTTCGTGTCTCCCTAAGATCACTGGATGGTGCAACTCCCCTTTATTATTGTTCTGTCTGGATAATAACTTCTTGATAACATTTCTAGCAGAGAGATCTGAAAGACATAAATCAGCATAACTTTTAATGAACTACAGTTGAAAGATGAATATTTTATATTGAAGACAGCATTACACCAAAAGAAATACTCACAATGAACAGATTTATTGAATTTATTAACCGTGGTCTTCAGATGTTTGGAATTAAAAAGTAGTAAGATTCTTTAAAAAAGGGGTGATTACCTGTAATTCATGTTATCTTAAGGGAAACTTAGTTTCAAAGACCCTATGAGTAAACGATTCACACTTAGATATACGTAAGCTTTGAAAGAAGGAGTATTTTCCACCACTGCCCCAAACCCAAAAAGTAAATCCATTGCCATCAAGTCAGTTCTGACTCATAATGACCCTATGGGACAGAGAACTGCCCCACAGGGTTTCCAAGGCTGTAATCTCTATGGACACAGACTGTCACATCCATCTCCTGAAGAGCAGCAGGTAGGTTCAAACTGCCAACCTTCTGGTTCACAGCTGAGCACTTTAACCACTGCACCACTGAAATGCCTTCTGCCACCCCAAAGCACACTCTAATTGGCAGTAGGCATATCAATGTGTCATGTTTGAAGAGATATGATATTAATGAATATTTACTGTATTATATATATGTATACATATATATATATATATACACATATATATACATGTATATATACACACATATATAAATAAATGGTAAAACCAAAACCAAATGCTATTTAGTCAATTCCAGCTCACAGTAACCTGTTAAGACAGGGTGGAACTGCCCCATAGTGTTTCCAAGGCTGTAAATATTTTTGGAAGCCGACTGCCTCATCCTTCTCAAGCGAGTGGCTGGTGGCCTCAAACTGCTGAATGCCTTCACTATTGCACCACCAAAGCTCCTCTAAGTAAATGGGAGTACACTGCACTCTATTATGTAATGGTAAACAATCCAAAGACATTTTTGTAACGAATACAATAAATGGCAACTCAGAATTGCAAAACTAAAATTTAATAGGAAAGTCAAGAATTTAACAAAGCACCTCTTGAAGAATAACAAAATATTCTAACTACCTGTCAAAAATCTACCTATGCCCATGCAGAACAGACATTTTTACAACATTAACAATGGGTATTCTGCAGTCTATATTAGATACTGAAAAATCTCTCACCTGTAAATCATAAATATTAATAAATAAAACACCTTAGTAACCAGAAATGAATCCAACAGGTAAATAATAAGGAACAAAAATTACAGTCTGAAATTTTAAAGAATGTTCCCTTAAGTGTAAAAGAAAGGACTTACATTCCAGAAGAACGACAGAAAATCAGAATTGGAAATACGATGAGAATCACTGATTTCTGAAATAAAAGCTTAGAGTAGACACACAGTATAACTGTTGCTCTTGCTGGCTTCCACCCAGTCAGCATCTGACTCGTGGTGACCCTGTGTTACAGCGTAGGAATGCTCCACAGGGAATCTTTGGCTGTGATCTTTACAGAAGCAGATCCCCAGGCCTTTCTTCCGCAGAGCCAATGGGCGGGCTCGTGCCACCCAGGATCCTTCATAGTATTGCATAGATTAGGAATGGAGGAAAGGTTACATCAGCAAAAATGGCAGAGCAGGAAAACTCCTTGAGTACATTCTTCCACAAAAACAAACTACAAAGAAATGCCAAAATAAACTGGAAACTCATCAAAGGTTTACAGACTAGGAAGACAGGCCTGGTGCTCTCCTTCCAAAAAATCAGCCAATGAAAACCTTACGACAATGGTCCGACCCAGTCGTATGTGGGGTTGCCGGGTGGCAGCTAACAACAATGAAATGTATTAAATGTCACTGAACTGTAGACTTCAAAGGGTACAAATGATAAAATAAAATAAATAAGCATGCATGGGCTATAAAGCACTCTAGGAAAAATTAATGAAGGGACTGATGAACAAAACTTGAGGAGGGTAACTGTGAGTGGGAGGCAAACAGCATGTAGACAGATGTGGTGATGTTAGCGACTACTGTGTCAGGTCGAAGGTTCACACATGTTCTTCATCTGCTCAGGCTGTGTGACATACAGCAGACCTTAGAGACTTACTGATTGTGATAGTTGGAGCTGTGTGTCAACTTGGCTGGACCTCAGTTCTGTGTGGTTGTTCCCATGATGGGATCGGATGACTGTGTTCTGAGTGGCCAATCTGCCCAAGGGGAGTTTCCCTAGAGGTGTGTGGCCTGCTTCTAGGATATCCAGGGACATCCTGGGAAGAGAGACATTCTTTGAGGGATT